CAGAAAGGAGCCCTTCAGGTACCCTGTTTGGGAAGCTGTTACGCCGGATATGCTTCCGCAATATGCAGCAAGGATCTTTCCCACGCTTGCTTTTGGCCAACGCTGTCTAGACCAAACCGCAGACGATACTGAACCCCGTATACGTGGGCCCCTGTTGCTCGATGCGACGCCGGAACCTTTAGAACTTTCCTCCTCCGAAATCGGTTACATCGGCACACATATCCGTTGATGTGTATCCTCATTATCTGCTGGGCGCATTTGGCGTCCACACTGACATTTTGCTACACCAGATAGCAGTCACCTTGATTGGCGGTATTTTACCACCTTTGAATTTATAACTTCCGTTATTTCCTCCGCTTTGGTCAAAAAATCAAGCTGCAGTTGTTTGAATTTTCTGTGACCTGGAGTTGATTGTCTGTCTTTTAGGAGGAAAAAGAAGCATTATCAGCTCATCTGTTTATAAATGCATCTCACTACTGTACATAAGATTTACGTATAAATATTAATCATTCTTAGATTTCTATTTTGCAGTAGTCCGTTTACTTATTATGGAGATACAAACTGGCGTTCATATTACGTAAATTAACTTTTCCCATGTTCATTAGGGTTATATTCCTATCTTCTCTTATACTCATGTGCATTACGCTGTCTCGCAGTTTATTTCCGCAGATAAAACCTTTGCTACTAACCGTTCTTCTCTCCCACTGGTTGTTCGTTCCCTTGGCTCTTCAACTGTCGCCAATTTGCAAATTGTGGATTATTCAATTACCTTTTATGCATTGACAGCTGTTTATTTTTTTATTTTTCAACTACCGCGCTCACTTCTGTTGCTATATATAGGCGTGGAAAAAGAATTTCAGCGGAAATCCACATATTCTCAAGTTTTGTTAAATGCATTTCGCTCCCCCTCCGCGGTGATGTCCAGCCCTACAACCTCTATCACCACCATTCCCGTATTATACGAGCAAAGGGTTACTGGTTGCGAGGTGGGGTTAAACAACCTACCGTTGTCACAATGTGTTAAACGTCTTGACTGGGAAGGCTGCCAATTGACTGGGCAACTCGGTCCGCACAGACAGTATTCCGTGTGCATATGGTCTCCAAAACGGGCCACGCTGTAAATAAGCTAGATTAACAAGGGAGCCACGTTGGATTCTGACAGGCGCTATCAGGAATGCACACCCATGACAAATGCCAACGCCGGGGTGTGGTGGCAATCCCAGTTGCCGAGTCACTTCGCGCTAATTGGGATCCCTGCCGCCATTCCCCCTATTGGCCTTGTTGACTAAAAGCCGGGTCAAATGTTTGTTGCGGACCAGAGGCGATGGAGGGGTACGCCTACAGTACAGGGCCTATTTTATGAAACCGGATGACAGAAACCGACAGGAGAATTTTCGGACGTCTTAAACTTTGCGCATTTTGCTCGCTCGTCCGGCTTTTTAAAGGAAATGTCCTTCTCTTGTGCAGAAAATGCGTCTACGCAATTTTCTCAAGCGAAATGTTCTTAAATTTTAGCTAAACTGAACGTAGCAATATATTCGGCCAATTTCCTATGCTAGTACCTGTCCTAGACTTCGGTTGTACATCTGAGCGTGCTTTTCTGTAGCAGAAGATGATTTTACTCTCGAAGAATTTACTAAACAGAGCTTGCTCTGTTTGAAAAAGTGATTTTTTTTGTCCGATGCTAACCGTGGGAACCAGTTCGCTAACACAGGTTATCTTTGGAGAACCAGATGTTTTGTCGATTTTTAAAAGTCAGATTAGCAGAGCCATACGATTTCGTGACCTAAAATGCAGCAATAAAGCACACAGGCAATCATTCGTTTAAGTGGGCCATAACTGTTTTGCCGTTTGGAAAATTATATCAGCTGTCACAAAAACGACTACTACTGAATGATCATTTTCGGTTTTGAACATATGACCCTTACTTTTCGTGCGGTCTAGCTTTTGCACATACATAATTTAGAAATGGAACGAGCAAAACATCAACAGTTTCAGTAAAATATAAGTCTTCATATGGCCAGATTGCCGTACATTTATAATCGCAGTGCGCAGCCTACAAGTGGGCAGAAAATGCGCAAATGGGCGCAATATAAACGGAAATTCGTGTTCTTTTGTGTTTTTAATCCCATTAAAATTGTTTTTCGTTAACGCAGGCGTTAGGTTCACGCATTTATGTCGATTTACGAGTGATTAGCAATCGTTCGTAATGTCCAATACCTTTCATGAACTAGGTCACTAACTCTAATTGCGGATCCGACCGTGTCAGCCACCTGCGCCCTCCCTCACTTCCGGTCTTCATAACTATGTTTTGACATCGGACCCAGGTGGAGGAGGTGGAGAGAGTGCGGTGGGCTCTGCGCAAGTCTACTACCAATAAAAAACTAATTCTTCCGCAAGTCGCCGTGCTTGCGCTCACGCTGCTGTGGAGCCCACGGTGAACATCGCCGGTTACACCAGTCGAACTGTCAGAGTGACTGACCAGAGGACTGAGGATCAGACTTGGTGGCTGTTTTTTAATATGGTCGCCGTGGCGCTCGAAAAGACGTGTGATTCGAGCCAATCTTTTGTGTGAAAACCTGACATATTATTCGGGGACCAGGTGGTGAATGGACACGCTGGACATGTTGGTTAGCTGGACATGCTGGTTAGCTTTCTCAGCCATTGGGTCCGAACCCACCTACAGCGGTCTTGATATGGTCTTGCCATTGGTGCCAGGTGGGTGAGGGAGTAGGATGTGGTAGATGCCGCACAAGGTCACTTCACTTTAAGCTAATTCACGCCTATCTCGCCGAAAATGCGCCTACTTAGTGGGGCACATAGTAGACGTTGTCGCTCGCGACAGTCAAGTCGTTATTTATCTGCCAGCTAAGGACATTCCTTAAGTGTCTCTAATCAACTTCCGCTTTTTGAGACGGAGCTGCTTAATTCTGAGATGACAGCTTTGGCGACCAGCGGTATCTTTTTCATCTCATTATCATTTTTACTTCGTGTCTTTGTTTTGGTATTGAATTACCTATTTTTTCGACAGAACCGTAGACCAGGCATTTAGGCCCCAAAAAGTCTACGTTTTAAAATTAAGTAGCGTTGATTTACACAAAGTAAAAACGGCACTTTTCCGACGAACGATTCTCAAACTATTTTCACTCTCAGCCTATTTTTCGCCAACGTTGAGTATTTTGGTGTGGGCAGGGAAGAAAAGCCTCTCGTTCTGATGCGATTCACCGTTTGACTGAACGAATTTTTAAGTTTCGGTAGAAAAGTAATACTAACGATAAACAGTGAAGGCTAAAGTAGAGCTGGAATCGTGGTAGTGACCACACAGGACTTATCGAATGAAGCCTGGTGTACTGGCCCTGTACAGCCTTCTGTTTTATGAGAGTATCGGTAGCTATATGCAGGAAGTGTCGAAGAAAAGGTTTGAGGAATTTTTCCACCCCTGTGATAATTAGACCACTTCATCCGACGACGTCCACCATTTGCTATACAGCAAGGTGGAGCAGACACGGTGAATTTCGCATGGATTAGTGTATAGTGAGAGTAGACTTGCGCAGCACATGTCGCACTATCTTCTTCCCGCCTGACCTGGGCTTCAAGACATCGTTAAGAAGACCGGAGGGTGCAGGTGGATGGCGCGGACGAACGCGCACCTTGGCGCTCCACTCCACACCTCCTGGTCCACAACAAACACTTGACCAGGACTCTGAGCAACAACAACAACAACAACAAAAAGACACGTATGACCGGACAGCTATGCACACGACCTGTATAACAGTCGGGGCGCAACTGCATCTATTGCTAGAGAACCAGATACCGGAGAACTGCCAGCGAACATCAGGCTGCAAGGGCCATGGTTTGCGATCATGGCATAGGAGACCCTCACAAATATTAGGGCCCAGAAGGGTGACACGCAGCTCTGCATTTGCCTGATCCATCTTCCTTCAGAGGCTAGGTAACCAGTCAGTCGGCGACTGAAAGGCACTACCAATTAAGTAGCACACACGCCTCACATGCGTGAGTGTCACAGACCACTTTAAGAGGGAGCCGTGACAGCCTTGCTCTCAGCCGACCAATCCACCACTCCACAGAAACACACATAATTGGGCAGACTACGAGGATTGAATTGAGGCGTCAGTCGGCAAGCTTCCAAGGCACCGCGCTTACCGCGTCGTGATAATCTCAGACCCGGATCACGCATGCAACAGACGAACCAATGAAGGTAGAACCGAGGAACATACTTTCCACTTGCATGGGATGTGCAATCGAGTGTTTGAAATGATTATATCGATGTGCGATGCGGTTATTGATTAGGAATGTGTGATGTAGCCGAGGTTTTCTACGCTAGTTTTCGCCAGTGCACATGTGGCCTAATAAGCCCATGCAGTGAGTGAATGTCCGGGTGCAGTGAGGGCAGTTGAGGCGGGTGCGGTGAGTGTAGACTGGTGCTCAAAGCACTGGTTCGACAGTCACAATGCAATGAACTCGAAAGTGATTGACTAGGCCGATGTGTGAGGTGGCTGTGCGATCACAATGGGGACATCAGACGTCATCTAAAGTGCGTGAAGTCGTGGTGATGGCGATGGTGGCAGCTGCGATCGATGCAGGTGTTGGAGCAGGGGGATGGTGTCGGCGGGACAGCGACAGTGTGATCGACGGTGACGGGGGTGGCGGTCGGCGTGGGCGGGAGTGAGAGGAGAGGTAGACGCTGTCAAGTTGATGGCACATTCTGTCCGAAGGTGTCCACTGAGACCGATTCGTGCGCGAAATGCGCTTTGGCAGCCCTGGCATGTTGCAAGCGGCAGGTGGTTGACACTGAGGAGGCAAAGCATTAGTGATTTGTGAGACTCCCGTCGGGCTTTGGCGACTGTTGTCCGATTTGCTTCGTAGATGGCAGCGCCGGTTTTCACTTCTCTTCTCCAGGCCGATTTTTTCTGGGTGTCGTCCTCCAAAGTCTCTGGACTGGTTTGCAATTCCTTAAGAGAATTCTTCAGTGTGTCCTTTTAGCGTCGCCTTCGTCCTCCTGGTTGAAACGACTGAGGAGGATGCGGGCGAAGATCCTCCTGGCGATTTTTGAGTGGTGAGATGCCCCTGTGATCGTAGCTGTTTTGTCGTTTCCATATGCACTTGTACAGATGAACGATGTTTGTGTCCGTAAACTCCTGAGGAGCCTGTCCGCAGTGCCACTTCTCCTGAAACAGCGCTGTCAGTTCGTCCATCAGGCGGTGGCCGCCATGCTGGTAGTTTTCAGTTGGAATCGCATCGGAGCCTGGTGCTTTCCCGCTAGAGAGTTGTTGCACAGTGCGAATGGTTTCTGTAAGCGAGGGTAAGAGATCCAGGTCGGTGTTAATGTCCACTTGGAAGGGCCGGTCGATGGCGGCGTCGGAGATTGTGGAGGGACGGTTGAGAACGTTTCTAAAGTGTTTGGTCCAACGCTTCAGAATCTGCGAATTCTCTGTCAAAAGCGCTCATCAATTCGAGCTGAGAATCTGCGCGTTTTCTCAGTGGGGGACCTTGACATCGTCTTGATCGCAGCGAATAACGCTTTTTCTTTGTTTCGGCCGGCATATCCCCGGATCATTAAGGGGCCTAATCAATCGATAACGTGATCCAACGCTGAGACCAAGTCGAGGAAAGTCAAGTGAAACGACTATGTCAGAACGGACTTAACTGTCAACGCCGCCCAGTGAAGAACAAAGGTGGTGGGTGAACATTCAGCTTTTGAAACCGAAACTCACGCCCGTTGGAGTCTCCGCGTAACCGTTGCAGAAACACTAACTTAAACAAAAATGAATAAATGCGAGTTTGGGAAATGCTTAACAACTAGAATAACTATAAGAAGTAGTGTACAAACAAAAATATGACAAAAGGGCTGCCACAGATCTCCTCGACCCAGGGAGCAATCCAGGCGTCCTGTATTTCCCGCAACCGTTGCTGCGCAAGGCGGTAACACTGGTAGAATGCCGCTTTGGTTGCATTGGTTGAGCGGTAAATGTAGGCTCTACGAAGCCTCCTCATTTCGGCGAGCAGGTTGCTGATGGCTGTGTCGTGCTCGTTAAACCAGCCCTGGTGCTGACGACGTGCGCTTCTGAGGACAAACAGGGCGGTTGAGTGAACGGCGTCCCCGTATTTAGCAAAATCGAGTCTCTATGGAGGCGTATTCATCAGCCGCTGGCAGTTCTCCTAGCCGCTGGGTCAGTTGATTGCCGAAATGCAAACGGTGAGCAGGCAAAGGCAACAAAGCAGTATTCAGCTTGTGGCCTCCTGCGGGGTTGCAGAGTGAGCCTCATCTTGGAGATGACGATGCGGCGATCAGCACGGCCAGCGGCGGTGGAAACGGGGCAGAATTACCGTGTGTGGAGATACATGCACGGATACTCTCACCTAGTTCAGCCCGACGGTCGAAACGGTTACCAAGGTGTGGCCGCAGACAGAGCCTAGCTTCCGGGTGCCACGTGTGAGAGTTGGATACCAGGTAATGGACGCTAGGCTCAGTCATTACGATCTAATTCTCAAGCGACCTATAGCAGGACTTGGAGACGGATGTTATAGGTGATAGTGGAACATTGCCAAACTGGGGACTGTGCTACTACGACAGGGTCGTGGTTCATTGACTAAGAGATCGGTAATATAGTCTGATCTCACGAATGGAAGAGAATATGCGCATCCCAGGTTCTTGTTTAAAAGAAGGCGAAGGCACGATCACTGGGACAGTGGGTTTATTTGCCTGAGCTTTCGAACTCGAACTAGAGTTCATCATCAGAGACTACTTGAGTGCAGCAAATTGTGAACATTTATATCGTTCGTCCTTGCGGGGGTGAACAGTCGGGTGTAGTCTATCGATTCCCGTGCCAAAACTGTCCTTGCCACTACACAGGCCAGACAGGACGACGTCTGAGATCACGAATACTTGAGCACAAACGGGCCGTTCGGAGAGGCGACCTACTATCCCAAGTAGCCACTCACACGCTGGAGGAAGAGCATGAGTTCGACTTCGCCAGAACGCGGATATTGGCGCGAGCCGGCAACAAGATAGGGCGAGAGCTGTTGGAGGCGTGGGTGTCGGACACCAACTCTATCAACAGACACATCGATTTGCCTGCGTGTTATCGTGCGCTCCGCCCACGCATCCAGGTGGCGCAGCTCACACCGTCGCGAAGTACAAACGGCGTCACCACGCCGGGGGAACATCGTTGACCAAGCGGCACAAACCCTACCTAGCCGCGGACGTGCTCCCCCCCCCCACAAGGACGAACGATATAAATGTTCACAATTTGCTGCACTCAAGTAGTCTCTGATGATGAACTCTAGTTCGAGCTCGAAAGCTCAGGCAAATAAACCTACTGTCCCAGTGATCGTGCCTTTGCCTTCTTTTAAACAGTCTGATCTGCACGAGTTAACTGCTCCCGAATCAAAGGCAAATATTTGGTAGAATAGTCACGTCTTACTCGGAACCTGGCCTGGCTGACCTCGTCCTCCAGTGTCGCACACCTTTAAATCGACCGTGATGAGCGATAGCTAGTACCTCTGCCACCGTGTCGACGCTGCTGATCCATCAGTTAACCTTGCACACCTTGAAGGCAGGCAGAGGGAGGGCTGGAGCTCGGTAAGCGGGAGAGATCTCATTTTCTCACACTTTCTCAATCAAATCCTGGAGGCACTGAGTCAGAGTGTCAGCAGAAGATTTGCAGACGTCACTGGAGATGCTGCTCTCTCTCTCGGCTCTTTTGAGCTATCTCGCTATGGCATTCCGTCGATTTATTTCTGAGAAGACCCGCCAGACTATATACGTTGAAAAGGAGCTAATCCTTGCAGCAGAAGAGCGGGGATCATGCGAAGGCGCTTAAAGTGCTCACCTCGGCGTTCGACTCCAGCCGAGTTGTCAGCAGTGATGACGCTACACATCACGGTCAGCCAGTGCAGAGGATTTAAAAATGACTTGGCAGATAATTTGGTGGTCTTCGAGTGCTAACGGAATTTGGGTCTGTTTCGTAGAGGTCAAAACTACTGCTCGACAGTTTTCTGCAGTCATCTACAGCCGACTTTGTGGTCATTTTCCAGAGTTGGAGGGAAGGCTCACCCCTATGGGCAGATAACTCTAAAGTTCTTAAGCTGGCCCAGTCTTTGGGGCGCAATACGCAGTTCCAGAATCAACTCATGCATGCAATTATGACAATTTGTTAACGCCTTCTCTCTTAATTCGAGTGGGAAATCGAGTGTGGACTTCTATCCGCGTACTAATATAAGCAAGGCATCTTGCACACTCTAGGGGAGAAGGACAGTTCCCGAGTGGGACTTATAATACTAAGAAAAGAGTTCGTCATGTTTGGCATTTACAGCTGATGACTTGGCCGGGTAGTGGAGCACAAAAACTAGTCTTCTCCCTGATCAGTCGTATATTATTATGCAATGCGCTTCGTTGCAGCTGCTGCAACAAAATTAAGTTTTTCAGGCTTTTAATCGCTCGAATATGCTCTGCTACCCCCTTCAAGATTCTCATTTACGTTTAGTTAATAGAATTAAAGTGAGCAGAGCCAGTTAACTGTGGAAACGAGGAGAGAAATAAAGCGAATTATGGTAGCGGTGAGATCTCCGATCGTTTTGACGGAACTCACTCGTCCCGCTGTGTCATACGGGCTCTCTCTCAAGCCCAACCAGCAGCTGCCCAGCGGCGCATGATATAGGCAGAATGGTATTACCGACAAAGACAAGAGAGACTGGAATGGCCATTTCCGGCTTATTAGCCGTCGTCAGCCAATCATACGCAACCCCGAAGTGTGGAGCACCTGGACCCGCGACCTGATAGTTAGAAGTCCAACGCCACTAACCACTGAGCCACGGGGTCGTTGTCTTGCCGGTTGCGATCGGGAATCTACAGTGGTAGATGGCTAATAAGCCAGAAATGGCAACTTCGGTTTTACTCGTCTTTGTCGGTAATACCATTCTGCCTAAAGCAAATTATACATCCATTCAAGGCCTGAAATGATTTCATTTTAAAAGGGCGTTTTTTGCCTTTTATTCTTAGTCCTCCTGGGGACTAAATTTTGAAAAGACTGTGAAGAAATTTGTCAGCTTGTAACATAGTTTCGCCATTCGAATGCTCTAGCAAGGAAGTCTCTCCACTCCTGCCGTATTTTCTGGCTAGTGTCTGATGATTTCACATTCGACTTTTGTATGCGAGTTACTTTTCGTACTGATGAGCGCACACTGATCTAATTAGTGTCTCTGTGCAAACTGGTTTCTTACTTCCTTCCTAGGTATTACGAGTGAGTAACCATAGCCCATGTCGCATAGCAACAAGCCAAACAACGTAGGAGGTAGACCAACAAAGACTGTGGAGAAGGGTATTGCAGCCATTTCAGGTCGTGTGGTGTGTGCGCGCGCACATTGATTTTTATTCACTCTCAGGTGCTGCGATATAGTCGTTTAGGCCTCTAGAGATGCAATGAGGTGGGTTTCGGAGGGGGCGTAATCAAAGGGTAGGGAAGGCCTTTTGTCGATTAGTGTTAGTGGCACTCACAGACTCAGACAATGCTAAGGATCTCTGGCGCACGTAAATTTTACTTTACTCACTGGAAAGTGTCCCCCCCCCCAAAAAAAAAAACGTAGACAGTGATGGGACAGTTTAGTCGACAAATCAACTAAGGGCACCAGTTAATCAACTCCTGAAACACGTTCAGTCAAGTGTGCTGATAAAATAATTGAGCCGGACACCGTGTCCATGTCTTATCGACCCAGAACACTAAAACTACTGGTCAATTTTATCCAAATAAATTAGGTCAAGGCCGTAAGATGCATATTTTGATCTCCACTAAGTGTGTCTTCACATCATAAACTGAAGTAGGCAATTTTCTGAGTAACACGCACCGTAGCATACCATTAGAGAAACCCAGAATCAGCATAAAAAGTCTTAGCGACCATGGGCAAGAAGACATGTGACCTCCAAACTCGTTCAATATCAACCCCTTTATCATGTAGTGTGGGTGAAAGGTCAAATAGGGATTTATCGCGAGTCCCACGAGAGAGTCGATATCTTCAAGATCGAACATTCTGAGACCTGCAATGACCTACAAACCCGTCCTTTCGTAAAACCTATTGGGTTTCATTGAACGACAGTAGAGAACCTTGACGGGAAGGACTAGTGACTTTTAGCAAATATATGATTGTCGAAATATGTTGACAACGCAAGGGGGCAGTAATGACCACTTTTGGCATAATTGCCGCTCTCAATCAATCATACTCCAACTGCAGCCCCCGAGGACCTAGATACGTGTCTTTGTAAATTACACACTATTATGCCATATCATCACAGACACCCCTCACCAACACATGCACCACGCATACGACCCTCCAAACCCCACAACACCGGCATCTCTCACAAAAATTGGAAATGTATTTTTCAGCTCCTTTCCCATGTGGTCCATCCGATGCATGTGTGATCCGAGCCTGAGTCTATCACGATGCACCAAGTACCGTGGCTTGGAAGATTTCCAACTGCTGCTCTAAGTGAGTCCTCGCAGACTGCCCAGCTGTGTGTTTAAAGGCTGATAGGTTGACTGAGAGTCAGGCTGCTATGGCTCCTTCCTAATGTTGCCTCTATGGCACTCCCACTCCGTGGGATGCGAGCCACGTGTGGCAGCACGCTTAGAGGCGGCCTCGGCAGCGCCAGCCGTCGCTACTGCTATTGTTGGTTAAAATTCTGGTCAAGTGTTTGTTGCGAACCAGGGGTGTGGTGGTACCTCACAAATCTTAGGCGTTTCTAACAACTTTCTGAGAAGCCCTCACTGGGCTTTCCTACTCGTCCGCGCCATGTGTCGGACAGTTTCAGTGACCGGTAGTTGGTTGACTCGGCTATCGATTATATGAACACCAACTTTCCAAACTTTGATTATTTTTCGGGTCGTTTCTCAGTGATTGTATGCTGTCTAAGTCCGTTCAATGACCGTTCTTTGGGCTATTTTTAAGGGAAAGGACACCACAGATACCTACAAAGGCTACTCATTAACTGTGCTGTAATTTATCACCACCCGGTTATAATTACGTGGGGCCAGCTACCCTTATATTCTAAAGAATTGTAATTTTTATATACGAGGAGCTTTGTACTGTCCGTTGCTGCCCGGGGAACCCCTATTTATGGAGTTCTTCTCTGATCCTTGGAAATCAGGCATCAAAACATCGAATCGTGTCGTCTCTTCGCCTCTCCTCCATTGCGCATGATCTTTTTTAAATGCTGCACGACCATCTTTTAAGGTAAGAAGCGTGTTCCGTCGAACTTTTACAATGGTGCATCCACTTTATGTCTTCAGAAGTGTGGCCTGTAAGAGGCAAGAACACTACTGACGAGGCCGCGCAGCACAAGTCTGGCGACGTAACCATCGATTCGGGAGCTCATTAAAGTTCTCTGTATTTTCCCATAGACTTCTCTGTTATGAGCTCGATCTGTAGTTATGTTATAATCAAGTAGTCTCGTTTATTCTTCTGTTTAGCTCCATCTTTGTTGAGATAAAACAATTGGAGTGACAACTAGTGTATGGTTGTCGTAGCGATCCTCTTTCTACTCTAGCGGTCAACATGCGCACTAAGAAGCCCAAAGTATATGCCAAAGCCGCAGGAGGTTTTTACGTGCCAATCTGATGTCACTTCGTTTGGATTTTCCGTAAGTTAAACTACGTTCTTGAAGTAGGAGGGTTTGACAGGATGTGGATTTAGGTGCCTGATCTATACGAGGGCCAGAATTATTACCTCTCTTGGATTCCTGCCGCTTCCTATACCGAAGTGCAAAACCACCTGGAATACACGTCTGGAAACAAACATCTGTTAAAGACATTTCAGTTCTCTCACTAAGTGCCGTCGTCCTGACAGTGGATTCCAGCTCCACTTATTTTGCCCTCGACGAAGTTCCGTGTATTAGAGGTGGGATCGCCACTACCAACATGCAGGATGATTTCAGGATATGTGCCCCTGTAATGCACCGATGTTTGAAATGACACAACATATCCAGATTCGAACAGTCAAGTTGGCAAACATGTGTCTTCGACAATTCTTCGTAAGGCCAATACAGTTGCATGGAGGAATGAAAATATACAAAATTAACAGTGTTTATTCAGTTATTAACACTCATCTTCCCCGCGCCGCCCGCATGACGAGGTCGGCGGGTTTTGGTCCTTAGGACTAGGGGAGGGGGGAAAGAG